TCTTGAATAGTCTCTGTAGGTAGGAAACTGTTCACCCAAAAAGAGTTAAAAATTTTTAGACAGTTTTTTGTAACCATTCAAAATTGCAAGAGTTGAAATTAAAATTTAATAGTTCTTCTTCTCATGACAAATGTCAAAATTTCTGAGGGTAAACAAATTGATTTAGAAATCAATAAAATGTTTCATATCAAATATTTCTAAATAATGATGAAACTATGTTGCAGTATATGCATATAGTTTTTGAGTGATCACCTTGTATCTAGCTTGGATACTACCACAGGCAAACATCAGTTACCAGTGGACAGAAATATCTGATATATGTGAAGGCAGAGATTTGAGGCCATTATCTGTAGCCTTCCAGGATCTCCCTTCCCCCCTTCCTCCAAGCTGTCAGCACCTTTGGCTGTGCATGGTTTTCTTGGACATCTCAAACAGTCTCTTCTGGCAGCTTCATGGGAGGGTGATATGCTCTACAGATAGCTAATAAATCTGTGGGAGAGGGGGAAGCAGGCTTCCCAAGCAGGCAACTCCTTGGCTATGCTCAGTGTCTTACAGAGGAGCGGTAGGTGTGGGATGTAACTCGTCAATCGCCTTCTCCAGGGGAGGGAGATGGACACAAGGAGTCCCAAACCAGGTTGCTCACAACCAGACATCACAATCCTGGAAGCTCCAGCCATCCCTGGCTGTGCCTGGTTGCCTTGAAGGCTGAAGATGTCCACTTTGTCTTGACCCATTAAAGTCTATTGTCTGTACACCACTGTTTTATTGCATCCTGGTGGAAAGCTCTGGTCTAGTGATTGGCTTGTTTAGAAAGGAGAGAAGAAAGACTATGTGTACTTTAGGAAGAAACAGCAAAAATAGGTGCATCCTGGTAGGTGTAATTTTGGAAATATGGTCTGTCCTATTCACTGATTAATGAGAGCATTCTTTTTTTTTTTTTTAAGATTTTATTTATTTATTTGTCAAGGAGACAGAGAGAGCACAAGCAGGGGGAGTGGCAGGCAGAGCAGGCAGAGGGAGAAGCAGGCTCCCCACTGAGCAAGGAACCCGATGTGAGACTTGATCCCAGGACCCTCGGATCATGACCTGAGCTGAAGGCAGATGCTTCACCGACTGAGCCACCCAGGCATCCCTGATGAGAGCATTCTTTTTTTAAAATTTTATTTATTTATTTATTTTTTATTTGACAGAGAGAGAGAGAGAGCACAAGCAGGGAGAGCGGCAGGCAGAGGCAGAGGGAGAGGGAGAAGCAGGCTTCCCGCTGAGCAGGGAGCCCATGTGGGGCTCATTCCCAGGACCCCGGGATCATGACCTGAGCTGAAGGCAGACACTTAACTGTCTGAGCCACCCAGGTGCCCCCCTGATGAGAGCATTCTTAATCTAAAGTGTATCAGTACAGGATTCTGCATTGGAAATTAGATGAATGGCTTTGTGTGTGAATGGCTTGAAAGGAAGTTGGAAACTTGGATTATTTTTCTACTTCTGCTTAGCTAACTGTGATCACCTTTACTATGTTTTACTTTCCACCTTTCTTTGCTCATGCATTTCTCTCTGTATTCTGCATTATTGCCTCTCATATAGGTATTTCTAATTAGAGAATTTGAAGTTATTTCAAATGCCATTTTCCCACTTGAGTCTCTTCTGATTCCTCCTACCAGATAGTATGTTTCCTTCCTTTGAGAGGAAACATTTAATATTGTAATTTTCTTTTGGTATGTATCATATTCTTTCTTGGACTATGGTTTATGTCTGTCTTTATCTTATTTCATCCTTCTTGTTTACAAGGTCTTCTCTGTATATCTTGCAACTTTTAGAGTGGTGAACTAATTGCAGTTTATCTGATTTGAGGGTGCAGCAAAACAAAATTTTAAGCAAAAAAAATTTGTCCACCATAATTAGCCAGCACATAGAAACTATTTTGCTTAACCCTCTTTAAGGAAGAAACTTGAGAAGTTTGGACTAAAAACGGAAAAGCTGACTTCACTTTCACAGATGGCACACCTGTAGTACATAAAAAAACAGGTTTCAAGTGTGTATTTAATTCTGAAAAAAATGCTCTGCCTTCTCTTGCATCATTCAGCAGAGAATCTGTGTTGCAAATTTTGCAGTCGGGTCCATGAAATGATGTAATGGAGGAATTGATTGTAACTCAGTGTTCTTCTTCATTGTACCATTAGTAACCATCACCAGTTTATTGGTTATTTGGAATATATTAATCCCAAATATGGCGACTTAGTTCATTTTAATACGGCCATGTGACTAGATTGTGGAGACTTACTAGAGTAACTGAGCTGCTTCTTCAGATCCAGGGCTTAAAAAAAATTTTTTTTAAATAAAGGGTTTTGAGAATAAAGGTTTTATTAAGATCCTTAACAAATAAGGAGAAATAAATAATAAGTCAAGGGTTGAATAAGATTCTCATTATGACAAGATGTCTGAGTACATTGGACCAGAAACTTCAGTGGGAAGGTAATTAATGCTCATTTGTTTAGAGAAGTGCAGGCCTTCCCGTTAAAGTGCAACAGGAGGACAGAGCAAATGGCACTTGGAGACCATGCTTTTTTCTTTAAAGATTTTATTTATTTATTTGAGAGAGAGAGAGAGAACAAGAACAAGCGGGGGTGGGGGGCAGAGGGAGAAGCAGACTCCCCGCTGAGCAGGGAGCCCAACATGGGTCTCGATACCAGGACCCTGAGATCATGACCTGAACTGAAGGCAGACGCTCAACCAACTGAGCCACCCAGGCGCCCCTCATGCTTATTTCTATTGTAGAACCTCCCTAATAGCAGCAGAAGTGCTGATATTTCAGATGGGGAGAAAGTAAGATACAACTTCAGAAGAGAAATCCAGATTTTGATGTTTTTGAATACTTTGAGTTTCTGTAGTTGTTAATGGAAACCCGATGGTGTGACTGAATGCCAAGGAAATGCCCTACAGGGTGGCTTGGTTTCAGGGAGACCTGAGGTTACTGAAAGCAAACTGCTCACCAGGGTGTCGGGGCACTGCTGCTTGATGAAGGTTTGTGGATCAGAGCTGCCTGAGAGTCTTAGTCCTTGCTGAGATGAGTTCAGAAATCGAGAGAAAACGCTTAGAAACTTTATGGTGGTTTGACAGTATGCTTGTATCTATTGAATTTAGTAAAAAACAATTGGCCTTTTGTATTATGTATATCTTTTATTTCATTTCCTAGTTAATTCATTCTTACTGTATTTTACAAGTTATTTGTCTGAAACTTAGGGACTAGGGAAAAAACACAACAAAACAGTTACTTCATCACAGAGAGTTTAGAAATCACTGAGTTATAGTCTCTGAGAAGGGTGAGGCATCAGGAAATGAATATATGAATTTGAGGATTATCTAGAAGTTTCTGGCTATGTGGCCGGCCAAATTCTAAGCATATGTAGGTCCATCTGACTCTGTGAAATATACATTCTCTTTTAGAGGTGAAATTTAAAAATACAGTGCTATTTTAGAAAAATTAACAAGGGACTGTACTCTACCACTGTTATTAATTAAAAATACTCACACTTCCCATCTGAGGATTTTTTATCAGGAGCCCAGTAGTGCAAAGTCTGGCCACCCTTATTGTAGCGCAGTGCCTTCTTCCATCTGGGAGCGCCTAAAAATATTTATTGAATTCAATTGATTTCTCCTAAGAGTTAGCAGAAAGTAGGTAGTTCACTAAATAAAGTCCAGAAAATTAAAGTCATTTTGAAAGGTAAAATTTGAGAGCTTGTTAGCTGTAGAGAGCCTTCACCAAATGTTACCTGCTTTGTTCTGCTTTATTAGATCTTTGTGAGTCAGAATATATTCTTTGAGACTATATTACTGAGGCAGTACTATGAATGCAGAAGATTTATGAGATCCTAAGTTGTTTGTTGTTCTAATCAACTGAGATTTTTAGTAAACTAAATTCTTAGTTTGTTGTTGTTTTAAAAGCTCATAGATTTTCAGTAAGTTCCTTGATAGACATCCTGTGTGGTTGTTTATCACTCTATTCCAATTGCACTACAGATACTTAAAGAAATTACCCTGAAAAATGTATTTTCCAAGTTAATATGCTGCAGTATCTTCCTTTTACTGCAACACTATACTCAACAAAATTTTTAAATTGACCAATATAAGAAGAAAATAATCAGCCATATGGAAATAATAGCATTGTGACATATTGTCAACTTTCATGTTAGATTTGCAAAGTGGAAATATAATTATGAAAAACAAAATAAACACATGTTATATATAACAGAATATGCCATGATGTGCTTTTGACACAATGGAAACAATTGCTAATAAAATAAGGTGTTTTATTTGGAAGAGAGAATTTGTTCTTGGCAGTGGTTTTCCAATTTTGCCAATTTTAAAAGCAACTATGTTGGTGGATGAGATAGTTATGGAAAAAATATATACAGTATTTATGCTTAGAACATATGCATTGTCAAAGTTTCTTCATGCAAAAGTTAAGCAGGACTCAAATTACTAAAGCTGTCTCATTCTGAGGAGGAAGCAGTAGAATATTTTCTTTCCTTAGTTTATCACTTCCATGGGGCAATTTTAAAAATATGCATTCTGAATTTCATTTTAACTCCAAACACTGGTTCTATCTTTATTGATTCTGCCATTATTTTTATAAAATATGTATAATATAAATATAAATAATATATACATAAATGTATGAAAATAAGTCTGTGGGAAATTTACCACGTGTGATGGTTTGTACCACATTTCGTTTAAGTACTGTGCTGTATTTTTCATGTGTTCTGTTTTCCAGTTAGGCATGCTAGCGAAATCTTCTAAGAGTATGCTCCGTTCTATTTTGTTATTTCTTCCTTCCAGAGATTGTAGCACTGTGTTCTGTTTATAGCAAGGATTTGATGTTGACAGACTGAAAAAGATCTGAAGATCTACCTTATAATGTATTGATAAGCAAAATTAGAGAATAATATTGGCATGTTTTAAAACATCTTAGTATAAGCATAATATTGTGTTTTATGTTTTTGCAGGAAGATTCTTTGGCAACAGATGATTTCCTTGTGGACTACTTTAATGAATTCCTAAGCCTTCCAGTGAGTGTATTATTATGTTCTATGGAATTTATTATCAAAGCAAAATATTGTAATCACTGGATTATCTTGCAAGACAAATTTATCAGGGATATTTTTAAAAACTATTAATTAAAGCATTTAGGTAAAGTTTATATCTTTTTATGGACTTAATCATTTGAGTTTGAATCATATTTAGGAATTATTGAAGATAGCTGAGTCAGTTGTACCACAATAAAAATGAATGAATGAATGGATGGATAAGAAAGGTGGAATTTTTCTTTTTTTTTTTTTTTAAAGATTTTATTTATTTGAGAGAGAGAATGAGATAGAGAGAGCATGAGAGGGAGGAGGGTCAGAGGGAGAAGCAGACTCCCTGCCGAGCAGGGAGCCCGATGCGGGACTCGATCCCGGGACTCCAGGATCATGACCTGAGCCGAAGGCAGTCGCTTAACCAACTGAGCCACCCAGGTGCCCCATTATATTTCTTGCTTCAGGCAATTATTGGCACCGCCTCAGGCAGATACTAAAGTGGAACTTGTGTTTAAGTCAACTAGAATTTTATATCACTAGTAAATAAGACATAGGTGGTTGCCAAATAATAGATTTTTAGTGTTAGGGAGCAATGACTGATAGACTAGTTACCAAGGGGGTTGGGAAAAGTGAAATGGAAGTGCATAAAAACATTGCTTAGTAAATAAAGTTAATCGGGAATGTCAGGAAAAAGAAAGATAAGAAAAGGTTTTCATTATTTGTTATGAATATGCAGAAAACGTTTTTCATTAACATATTTACCAGGGAAATTTTGGAATATAAAAAATTCACAAGTTATGTTATTTTGTTTTATTTATTTTTAAAGATTTATTCATTTACTTAAGAGAGAGAGAGAAAAGTGTGAGAGCGGGGGGTAGGGGGCAGAGGGAGAGAGGGAGAGAGAGAATCCTGAAGCAGACTCCCTGCTGAGCATGAAGCCAGATGCGGGGCTGGACTCCAGGACCCTGAGATCACAACCTGAGCTGAAATCAAGAGTCGGACGCTCAACTGACTAAGCCACTCAGGCACCCCATGAGTAATTTTAAAGGAGTGGGCCATAATATGTTAAGCCTCTTAAAGCCTAGCCACTGAAAATGTCTTTTGAAGGGAAAGTCGTAGGTGCACTTTCTTGCCTAGATTAGTTTTTGTATGTATGTATGTATCTATGCATGCCTGTTTGTTTTTTTGTCTTATTTTCCTTTTTCCAAAAGAATTTGTGTTCTCTCTTCCTTTTGGCCTAGCAAGGCCTTTGGAACCATTATGGGGGTTAGGTTGAGACACCAAACACCTCTCTCTTTCCAGCAGTAGGACTGAGTGATATTATAGGATACCTGATGGGTTCTTGTTTGGTCTGATTTTTCAACTTTCATCATCCAGTTATATAATATAAAAACCTCAGCAGTATCACAAAACTGTCAGAATTTTGCTCTTCCAGATTATGTAGTCTTTCCTCTAGGCTCTGCATTGTGCATTCTTCCTCCCAATTTTGTGACATTTTAAAGAGAAAAATCTCTATATTGGGTCTGATTTCAACTTCTCAAGATTTATATTTCATCGTCTCAAGATTTGCGATTATCTTGACTTTTACTTGCTCCAGAACATAAATTCCCCTACCTACCTTTTTTTTAAAATCTATTTTAAATTATAGAACTGATATAACAATACTAGAGAAAATTTACCTTAAATGTAAGAAAAATTCAGCCACAGTCCTGCCATCCAGTCAGGAACAATGTTACCATTTTTGCGTGATTCCTTTCAGGGTTTAGATGAGATGACAGAGTGTCAACCCACCCCAGCAGACCCCTGCAGTTTCACCCTTTCATATGTGCCATGCAGCCCACCAGGGCCACTTTCCCCTTCTGTCTGTGCAAATCCTTCTGCTTTTCATTCTCCACTGCCCCCCCGCCCCCACACCATCTCTCATTCCTTTGCATCTGCATATGGTACCATGCAATCTACCTATTAACTACCCATGCTTCACGCCATAAGATGGAAGAAGGGGAAATATGGTCACAGGTTTCCAAAAAAGAATTTGGGGATCCAGGCAGAAAGAATGATGGATTCTCAAACCAAGTTCTGGGCAAGATTCTAGAACAGATTAGTAATGTTTGGTTTATAAGCACTTGACCAAGAATTAGAAGCCAGTATGGGTTTGCTGAGAATAAGTGTGCCAAACTGACCTCTCTTTTTTGGAGCGTTATGGACTGGCATTTTAGGGAACCGTAAATTTAATGTGTTATGGTTTCAGTAAAGCATACTAATAACAATAACAGCCACAATAATAATACAGATAAATGGAACCATGTTACTTCCTGCTCAAAGCCCTCAAAAGTGGTTTCTCCTTACATTAAGAATAAAATCCAGATTCCTGTATGATCTGGCTTTTGTCATCTCATCCCCTGATCTTTATTTCCTACGCCTCTTCCCCTTGTTAATTCTTTCCCAGCCTAACTGGCCCTCTTCCTGTTTCTCAACCATGAATATGCCAAGCATACTCAGGGCCCTCCAGGCTGGGGTGCTCGTCCCTGAGATACTTGTACCACCTTCTCTCTGATTTAAGTCACTTCCGTTCAGGAAATCTTCCCTCCCAACCCTGGCTAAAATTAGACATGCTCCAGGGGTGCCTGGGTGGCTCAGTTGGTTAAGCGACTGCCTTCGGCTCAGGTCATGATCCTGGAGTCCCGGGATCGAGTCCCGCATCGGGCTCCCTGCTCGGCGGGGGGTCTGCTTCTCCCTCTGACCCTCCTCACTCTCATGTGCTCTCTCTCATTCTCTCTCTCTCAAATAAATAAATAAAATCTTTAAAAAAATTATACATGCTCCACTTTATTTACATGCTGCTTTATTTGTCTCCAAACCCCTTATCATTATCTGTGAAATTAGTTTTCAAATATTTGAACGGGTTCTCTAAATATAGCCAGTAGGGGTTGACTCTTAATAGCCTACGATTTAAGTCCACATTCCTTAGTATGGAGTTCAAGATCTTTTACAATCCGGTCTTCACCTCACCTTCCTAGTTTCACCTCTAGCTCCATACTGCTTCTGTCACCTGCACGATCTTTCCTGCCTCACCCAAGCCCCCTCCTTCTTCCCCCACTACCTGACCACACCTGTTCTTCCTGCACTCATTCCCCAGCGTAATGGTTAGAACAGGAATGAGGCAGAACTGTGCTTGAGCCTAGCTTCTCAGCTTACTACCCATGTGATCTTAGACACATTCTTTAATTACTGAGTTCTTTGGTTTCCGTCTCTGTGAAAACAGTGTAACTATCTTATAAAGTCGTAATGAAAGGAGGTAATGCTTAAGTGCCTGGCACAGAATTAGCGTTTCTCTTTATCCTTCACCAACTAGACCATCTTATCTTCCATTCCTGAAACACGAGGGGCAGTCACTCCTTAATTAGACTGGTGGATCATTGTCAATCTAGAGAATACTCTTCTGTGCCACACAAATCTGTCATTGGCTTTGACTTTTCACATTATTTTTATCAGGTTCTTGGATAAAACATTGCAAGTGAACTAGTGTTTTTCCAGCTTAAGGTCACTCAGCTAGTAAGTGACAGGGTCCACCCAGGTCCACATGACTCAATAACTCCTACTACCCTGTAATGATGATAGAACTGACAGCAGAGGAATAAACTGATAGTTTGAGTAACAGAATCTGGTTTCGTTTTTATTGTGGTAATCTGAAATGGTCTAAAACAAACCTAATGTGTTTTTAGGGTGCGTTAACAGAAGTATGGTTAAAATCAAGAAAAATATTAGTCTGGCGTACAGAAGGTACTCAGTCAATATTTTTTTGAATCGTACTGAGTTATCAGACCACAGTTGGAATATTGTGTTCCATTCTTGGTGCCCCAGGTTAAGAGTTGCTCTGGCAAAGCAGACTTGGGGAGTCTTAGCCAATGAACACCCTTGAAAGCACATCAGATGAGGGAGGGTTGAAAGAAGTGTGGGTGTTGAGTCTGGTTGGGGAACGGCTGAGAGGGTTGGAATGGACCAGCTTTTTCCAAATATTTCAAAACTGATTGAGGAAGAGGGGCTAACATGTTCTATGAAGCTAGAAGGCAGAACCAGGGCCAGCGTCTATGAGGAAATTGATTTTTTCCTAGAAGGAAGATTGAAGTGTGCTAACAGTAGAACAGAACAATAGGGCTAGCATGGTTCACAGGAGTAAACGTCCTGTGATTGGAGATATTCGGATAGAATGTTTTATGGGGGGCGCCTGGGTGGCTCAGTTGGTTAAGCGACTGCCTTCGGCTCAGGTCATGATCCTGGAGTCCCGGGATTGAGTCCCGCATCGGGCTCCCTGCTCGGCGGGGAGTCTGCTTCTCCCTCCGGCCCTCCCCCCCTCATGCTCTCTTTCTCTATCTCATTCTCTCTCAAATAAATAAATAAAAAAAATCTTTAAAAAAAAAAAAGAATGTTTTATGGGGATATATGTATCAGGTGGGAGATCAGACTTTTCTAGCTCAAGAAAATTTGATTAATCTCTGTTTATTTTTATCTCAGGAGCTACATTGTAAATTTCCTGGGGTCAAGGATAGGTCCCTTTCTTCTGTATCTCTCAAAGCTTCTTGAGGATGATTCTGTTTTTTATTTCTACATCTTCCACGTAAGACTTTTTTAAAAAAAATAAATAAACCTTCTAATCTTCTGCCTCACCTCCTCTACCATCTCCACCCCAAAACCCCAACAATCTAAGCCTGAGATAGACAGAGAGTATAGATATCAATTCTAATATTCTCAATCTGGAAGTCCCTTTAGTCGGTCATCTAGATTTCTGAGACTTCTGAGTCTTCTTCCACATCTGTAGTGACATGCCGAAGGTCCCAGAACTGGATTGTGACAGAAAAGGGCCTAGGAATCAGGCTTTCTGGCTCCCACCCTCCTTCTTTCCATTACCCCATTACACCCATGGGACACATTGTAAGATCCAGAAATTGATGGCTGGTAGCCTGCCTCCATGTTATTTTGATGAGGGGAATCCA